GGGCTCATGGAGGCTGGATGATATGTCTGGAATGTGTGACACAGAGGATAATTTGAAATAATTAATATTTTGTTTGTTTCTCTAGTTCCAGTGTACCTGTATGTCTATAATTTCCCCTTTAAAACCAAGACGAGGTAAACTACAGCTTGTGTACAAAATACAGACCTGCTGAGCAGCCAAAGCCCACAGAACACTGTCTGCCCCATGGCTAAATGCTGAAATTTCTTCAAGTTACCTGCATGTATCCTGTTTCAGCTGTTTTTACCGCTGTGTCAACCAGACCCTCCCGGCCAGCCATTGTGTGGAAGAAAAACTCGGTGGGCGTTAAACCTGAGTAAAAGCTATTAGCCACAAAGCCTTTGGCAGCTGGGAGCTAAAGAGAGGAAGAAAAAAGGGAAAAAGAAAAGAAAAGAAAGTTCAAGGTTTGAGGTCCACAATTCTAAAATCCATCCACATCAGAAAATGCCCCACCTTTGGGCTATAAATACCCAGCCACCAACTCACAACCTGGAAGTGATGTACACCCTCGCTTATGGAAAAAATAATTTGAACAGGCCATCCTTCCTAGAGACAGGATGGACGGTAAGGGCCCGCAGGGGCAGGCACTGGTGCCAGTGACAGGCAAGTGGCTCAGGAGAGGAATAGCAAAGCTCGAGCTGCTACCCTAAAAGTAGCAAGGACCTCAGAGGGCACCTGGCATTCTCCCTGGGAAGCTACTGCCTTCAAAGCATACTGCTCACCTCCAAAATACAACCAAGCATAGCTAAAGCTATGGCGTTTCAGTCTGGAACACTGAAAACATACAAGTAGATTGCAGCGATGGTTGTGCAATGCTGTGACCATATTAACAGTCACTGCACTCAACACTCCAAATGGGTGAAATTATGACGTGGTACATCTCAATACCACAGTAACAAATTGCATATCCATGTAAATCACATGAAAATGGCCCATGACTTTCTATGTAGACAGGCCTGTGTTCCGCATAGGACCATCTGGATGAGCAGACCTTCAAGCTTCTACTTCATCCACTACTACGTACCTTTGAGTGTTTTTCAAAGTGAGGCAAAGACCTGTTTTCAAAGCCATCTGGCACTCGAGAGCCGCTGATGGCTTGCTGTCCCACACAGGCGATCATCTGTGATATATTAATGAAGGAACCTAGGGAACAGTTCAGAAATGTAACACTGTAAGAGGAAACAACACCAACTGAAGCCAGGCAGAATGGAGAGAAAACAGGAACATGACACAGCACAGCACTTTTTCTCAAGCACACAGCGTGCTGGCGAAGGGCAGAATTGCGGTACTAGAGGTACAGTGATGGACAGGGCTCAGGCTCATCTGGGGTGGAGGGAAGGCTGAGGAATAACCTGTAGAGTCTTTCAGATGGCAGCAGCCACCAGATTGCTTCACAAAAGGAGGGTGGGGAAGAAGAACTGCAACGTATGTGGATGAATGATAAGTAACAGGCAGAGGCCCTAGGTGTATACCAAAGCAGGAGGAGGGGGACAATGGGCCAAAGGCAGCAAAGTCAGACAGCAGACTTAATTCCGTAAAAACAAAAAATACACAAAGAGAAGCCTGGAGGTTGTTTGAATACAATACTATGAAATCCAATGCTTTAAGGATCTGAGTAACTATGAAGTTAAAGAATTTTGCCACTGGGGGCTGGAGAGCTGGCTCAGCGGTTAAGAACACTGGCTGTTCTTGCAGAA